GGGGGGGGTGTACAAATTTTCTGGGGTATAGATGGTTGAGGGACCGTTGTCGCTTTTTAGGCGGGGGAAAGCAAATGTTATTGTTGCTTAATTGGGGCATTGTTATTACAGATGAATGGTTCATTCCAGAAAAGATCCACCCTGCCCCCAAGGAGAAAAACGTGTATCTGATAATAGTAAACGTATTAGGATATCCAAAGGGGGTATATAGGGAGGTTAACTTCCTCCATGGGGGAGGTATGGATGTGTTCTGGAATGACCTAATAGAGTTAACATGCTCTCATATTGAAAGTGGGGGGTGTCCAATGACAAATTAATTAATGAAGCCAAAGCAGAATGTTTACGGAAATGAGTAACAAATACAAATAACGCATTACACGATTATGAAACACTCTTCCTGGTTATACAGCACACAGGGAAATACCAAATAACTAGTGCTTATACCGAAAGCCTGCTAAAATTCGCCGAAAACATAGCTTTGCTACTTATAAAACATTAATTTGACCTATTTACCATACGTAAACAGTCCAATATTTATCAAGAATTTAGCGAAGCGTTAAAACATGTCAAATATTTACCTCAAAATGAAGATATCAAGTTTACACTCAAAAACCCGTCTGAAATTCGTTTTTCATTCATATACTATAAATTTGTTTCTATAAGTTCGGGCCAAAACATTCTAAAGTCTATTTCACATTGTAAATTTTGAGAAACAAAAGTCAACAAGACTATATTTGTATTTTTTTTTGTATCCATTTATTCAAAGCTTCCGATATTTGTGTACTTGAATAACCATTAAGTCCAACATTTATATACAAAACATTGCTCTTTTTCACAATGCTAAAACCCATTTTAAACCTTGTGTTTCTTTCTGAATTACGAAAATAAAACGTTTTGTAAAAAAAAGAGGAATAAATTTGGACAAAAACAAAAAATTTCCTTTCTAGACCGAAGGGGGAAGGAAGTTTCTTTATACAAGTACACGTAGTGGAAAATTACAGACAAAGGGCAAATTAGTTACATGCAAACTGTCATTGTTCTAAGCTATTAGCACTGATTATTATTTATAACATCATTTGTAAATTATACACATGGAAAAAATGGGGCAATCCTACCATTATAGCTTCAAGGCGAAGTTCGTCTTCGACAGGGCTAGACGATCTTGAGCTTGTCGGTGTTGGAGGAAACGATGACCAGCCATTACTCTGTTGTGGAGTTGAAAATGCATTTGGTCCAAATGGACTCGAAAATCCACAAGTCGCATTTAGAATGTCTAAAAACGCGATAATTGCAAAGGGTTAAAGGTCATACATACATCACACAAAACAAAACGCGAAAAGCACTTTTTCCTATAGTTATTCGTGCAAGTCAAGCCCTTCTAAACACGGCTTTTATTGACATGCATGTATTACATACCTGGTACTTTCGACACTTCGGCACCGTGTTCTAAAAGAGCATTTAAGTTGGTGAACATGTCCACACCTGAATCATCAGATTCGGTCTAAAAGGTAGACCACCCGTTGGTTAGCTTTAACAACAAGCGAAACGGGAAATTTTAAAAATAAAATTGACGCAGAACAGCATGAAATTATCCAAATTTTCGGTTTGAGGGGCGGATTTCGATTTGACTTTAGTGATAAAACAAAGACGTTTGTTCGAATTAAATTGCAATATTCTTAGTAGCCAAGATAGGTTTTTCGCTGTAAATTTTATTCTAAACTTCTACAATGCTACATCGGTAGTCTGAGAATGCTTGCTTTGGGTACATATTTTGTTTTCATTCTGACCATAAATTAAACTAATATGGAAAGTTGGTACTCGAACTTGTCTCTCTTATTAAGAGTATTCATATATTGATAAAAACTATAACTCGGTTTTCTAATATCATGATAAATACAGCGAAAGTGGCAAAGAAATGTGATTGCTTTAATTGTACAGATGAACATGCACAGACTCAGCACAGAGGATATTTGGTGCTTCTCGTTCATATATTTATATCAAACATTGTCAAGTCCCTTCAACGCGACGAACATAAAGCCTGTAGAAATGGCTTGGATAACGTACGGATTATGTACTCGAGTCTATGCGATAATCCAAGACAAAGTCGTAGACAAATTATCCAGACAAACAGTACAAGTAAACACTATTAAATCAAGAAGTCACGAGCGTCTCACCTTCATACAAGCCATGACGGTATAGGAAGTTTAACTAATGTTGAACCAAGTTAACTCTCAATGATAACAAGTTGTTTTAATGTATTTCTTCTTTCTGTCTTGTTTGAATCCAAAGCTTTTTCATGTTTTAGACACCGCTGTTTCTCGCTCTTTATACCACCAGTTCAGCAAAAGTCTGACGATAATTTCCCACGTGTGAAGCAATCGGCTTTGTTTTGGCACGAAACGCAGCATTTTCATTGGTCCATATTGAGGAACATTGTTCACGCCAGCCAATCACTAAAGAGGATAAAGTTGCAGGAAGTGCGGTACAAATGAGGGTTACTTCCAAATTTGTAATAAGAAAACTCTTCAAAATACAAAGGTTATTCCTATTCCTTTGTATTCCAAAGGAATAGAATAATATACTCCCCACAGTAATATATAATAGATACACGCACTTTCATCCCACAGGAAAACGACATTCATTTGAAATGCTTCAGCGCGCAACCAAAGGAAAAATTACATTTCCATCTTAAAATGAAACTAAATTTGCGCGTGTCATGTTTATTATATTATATTAAATATAATTAATGTGCGGAATGCGGATGCAAAACACGCTGACGCATCATTTGTACATTTTGAGCATGTTTTGCCGTTTTTGTACCTTTTTTATCTGACTTGTTCATTATTTTTTGTAAAACGCCGTGAAACATTGCGCAAAAAAACAAACATCAAAGTAGTTTGAAAATCAAGTGCGGTGCGTTATGCTAATTGCGCAACCAGATGTGATACACGTGACAGGCACATGATAGTGCTGAAAAAGCTCGAATGTTTTGGTTTTCTCACGTGCGGAATCGATACCCATGCATTGTGACACGCACTCGATATTTTCATGTGAGACTAGACTGCCTTAAAAATCAGCCACAACCTAACGATCGAGGGACGTATTTCACTCCAAACGTCAATTTGGAAAATCTAGACTGCAATAAATCGTTCCAATTTATGAAACCATAATTGGTTCTTTGTCTGAAAAATGGAGCGAAAGCCGAAATGCACCTCGTTAATTTTTCCTTCTCACTAAAAGGTGGAGTATAAAAGGACAAGCAAATGAGGTTGACATAGGAAGAAGCAGGATTGTGCATCTTTTACATGCAACTGTTCATCTTTTATCTCTTTTCATAGTTGGATTTGAAATATTACGTGACCACCACAGTGATACTCTCTCCTCCGCAGAGGTTATTTATTCTATTTATAATGTTCTTCGGTCCGAGAACTATCCGAAGAGAACCGAAGAACATTATAAATAGAATAAATAACCTCTGCGGAGGAGAGAGACAGTGATATACTACAAATTGAAGGCGTCTTAGTTTTAAAAGCAAAATGAATATTTAAAAGGAAAAGTTCCAAATCGCCTTCAAACTTTGCTATTAATCACATGGAGGTACACTAATGTTAGTTTCATTTTAATCAAAGTGTATGACGGTGTATACTTCAAAGCGCAAGTTGTCAATGTTTGATATCGTAAGATGACGCAAGCTTGCATTAGACCTCATTATCTATGTTTTTGCTAAGGGAAGCCTCACATATCGATTTTTTCCAAGAGAAACGTCATATGTTCGTTTGGGGGGGGGGGTTGGCAGCTGTGACGTATGGAAAAATTCGATAGTTTTTATCTTTGCAAAATATAAAAAAGAAAACAATTTGATCATATTACGTTTCGCATGGACAAAATCGATATGTGAGGCTTCCCTAAAAAAAAGTCGGTTCATCGTCACGTGTGATTTGTTTCTTCGCCCAACCAACCAATAACAATGTGTTGCCTGTTGGGCGAGACTTTTTTATTCTTTGGTTTACGGATCCGCCGACCGTAAATATTCAGAAAGTGAAAAATAAAAAAAAACTGGATGTCAACAATTTTAGTTAATTTTAGTTAATTTGGGGTTCTGACATGAAGTACACGCCAAGTAAACTTTGACTCTAAAGTACTACTGGCTCATGTTATCGTTGTGACAATCTTGAAAAACAATGTTTTTTTTTAGTTTTATTTTTTTCCGACCTACCGACCTGTAGTTTTCCAAGTAAAATCCGTAAACCAATAAATAAAAAAAGTCTCGCCTTGGTTTAATTTTCATGCTTTTTGTGACAATCTTCAGGCCTGAAGTTTGATATATAGTTCAACCAAGTGAAGTGCAATTAACATCTTTCAAATGAAAACATAGTTATTAGTTTCCCTAGCGAAAGTACTGTACGATACACACGTCACGTGTGACCAGATGTGGTAATTTCATTACTACCGTGGTAATTTTTCGTCATTTTTGGAGGATTGTGGTAATTGGAATTTTGTGGTAATTACTACGGTAATTTCAGAACTACCGTGGTAATTTTTCGTCAATTTTGGTCGATTGTGGTAATGTGAAATTTCCAGACCTTAATTGTACAGATTTTGGTGAAAAAACCCTAAATCTTACAGATTTTGGTGAAAAAAACTGGTTTGGGCAAAAAAAAACAAAAAAACCAAAAAATTTTTTTGAACCCTAATTTAAGAGGTGGTTCTCCGGAAAAATTTTGGTGTCCAAAAAATTTTTTTGCCCTCCTCCATTTCTTGCATAAACTAACAAAAACAGAGATAATGAGGTGTATTATGTCTCAATCGAGTTTCATATTAACCTTCTTATTCTAATTTTTTCTGTGTTGGTGTAATATACTCAGGTGAATATGATGTCTGCATGTGTGTATATCCACATTACTCTGAGTGTATATCCACACCGGGCGAGCCAGAAAACTATGCCCGGCCACGGTGGGAATCGAATCTACGACCTTTGGAATACTAGCCCAATGCTCTGCCAACTGAGCTACGCGGTCAGGTCGGTCCGAGTAAGTGATATTTCGGAACAGAATCTAGTTCCTTCTTATTCTATTGACTACGAGTATGACCCAATTAATATAAGCGACCCATGATGAACTACGAGATGCCTGCAGAGGTACGATGACGCCACTTTGCAAGGGGAAAACCATTTGACTTTTTAGGGGAAGGGTTATCGTGAACGGTGGAAAAAATATGCATTCGGTCAACCTCGTATTCGGGTAAATCAATGGTTGGCCTTTTAGGCTTCGCTCACACTTTCCGGATAGTTTTCCGTAGCGACGTGAAAAAACAACTATCCGTACCTTTTAGGAACGCTATTTTCAGAGGAATTGACCATTTGCGTAATAGACTAAATTTTGAACTAAACAAGTCTAGACAAAAATTTCATCACAGCTTGAAGGAGCATCACAAAATTAGTAATATTCCAAAGTTTCGTTGCAAAATGTTGTAAAATGCGGAAAATATAGCCTTACAAAATTTGCAATTTTCAGTCATTTTAGATTACAAACGGGAAATTGACAGCCTCAAACCCTTCGAGGCTGTCAATTTCCGGTTTGTAATCTAAAATGACTGAACATTGCAAACTTCGCAAGGCTATATTTTCCGCATTTTACAACATTTTGCAACGAAACTTTGGAATATTACTAATTTTGTGATGCTCTTTCAAGCTGTAACGAAATTTTTGTTGAGATAAAAATTTAGTCTATTACGCAAATGGTCAATTTCCCTCTTCAAGCATGCAGGGGAAAATCAGTAAACAAAGCAATTCTTTGTCCTTAATTTTCAGACCTTTTACTAAATTTCCTACTTGTATATCCAATATATGCGGGTGCATGGTTTAACCTGAATTCAATAAAGTGGTTTAAATAACCTTGAGTGACAGTCACAAAGCATTTCTCAAAGCATTTTCCACCATTAATACTTGGAAACTTGGAAATAAGTTCACTGAACCATACAAAATCAAACACCTATAAACTTAGTCAGCATAGTTTTCACACTTTTCCTCTGCGATCATGATATTGGAAAACGTCAGTGAAAACGACAAGTAAACATAACTCATCAGGGAATTAGCGATTAAATTGCCCTTCGTCTTGGGAAGATTTGTGAAAGTCGCAAATCCTCCGTCAGCGACGGGCTATGTATAATCGCTAATTTCCAGCAAGTCATGTTATTATTTATAATACTAATTACTTGTGTAAATTGACGTTAGTCTGATTGTGAAGCACCGATGTTACATATGTCCAATGTGCTTCAACACAGACACAAATCTCTTTTGGTGAGGTTTGATGATAGCAAGACAAATCTCTTCCCACTGTCCGAAACATGTTTCAAGGCTATAATCCTGCCAACAAAGCACACAGAATATGAGATGTTTAAAAGTAATGTGGATATAGCCCTGAAATTTGGAGCTGCAGGGTTTGTCTTCAACTATCTGTACGTTATTAGGATGCACGAGGTTAAAGGTCTAAATGTTCAATCCGGTTTAGTTGTTATTCAAATTTAAGGAATAGTTTTGTTATACTTATACATATGAAATAGACATTAAATGAAAACATGAAGATGTTTTAAAATTTGTTGTTGAAAAGTTGAAGTTTTTAATTTCAATGTTTTGTATTAACTAGCCTTTAACAATTGCTCTCACTCATGTAATTAAAGAAACTCAAGAATTTGCAGAAACAATTCGATGCCTTGTTGATGAGTATGACAAGTATTTTCTGGCAAATTACGTAACTGCTCTTCATCGAATGGACATTCTACACTTGGAACATCCACTTGCTCTGGCATTTGGTCAGGAATTGGTCCAGCCCAATCAATACCATAATACTCAACATGCTCCTAAAGAAAAATTAGTTTAAAAAAACTAGAACTAAAAAAGGTTATGAATAAATTAAACAGTTCCTCTAAATAGAGCTTGCATAAGTACGACCCAACAATCCATACATACTTGCAATGTTTCTATGATCCTATTTGCTTCCACTGTTCTGGAATGTTCAAGCCCAATAACCCAAAGTTGAAATGGCGTCTTGTTTCTCTCTGTCCGGATTGGATGAAGAATCCACGCATCTCTCCAATTGCGAATATGTTCATTAATTATGGGCAAAAAGACATAATGCAGGCACCATATATGTGTGTCGTTTCCTCGGTCAAGAATCCCTTCTTCCTCCATCGTCAAGAAAGTCCATAAAATAGACTGAGACAACCATTGAATACATCTCGCCACAGCCGCTCAATTCGTTGGTTATGTGTACTTTCACCTGGTAAAAAATACAATAACACGTAAAAAAGCAAAAAAGGAGAATAACTTGAAAATTTCAAAATTGCTTTCAGGAAAATACTGAAAAGTTCAAGCAGTACTGACTATGTTGACTAACATTTACAAACCTGTAATCATACTAACTGTACCAGGACCACGTTGGGGGTGAGAAAGCATATAGGCTGCAACATCGACATTTTCGCCGCCTTTATCAGCGCGGACACGGGATGGAAGTCCAAACTCTTCCACGCTTTGCAGAAATTCCCGCAAGACAGTTTCAGCACGGTTGTTGTCTGATGCTTTCAAATATACTGGCATCCTAGAATAACCATCTATTCCTCCGTGGATTACAATTCGCCAACTAGTAAGCAAGATAATTACAAGCCTTTAGTATGGATCAAAAAGATTTTAAATCACAACACTAGTTGGCCTTCTTATTAGCTAGCAAGATGCTTACTTAATAAGCTTGTGGTTTCCATCAATATGCCACAGAGAGAGTGGATATTTCACATTGTAGGTCCGCCTTTTGATGGCCATCTTCCAGCATTGCATTAAACCAATAGGATCAATTCGCAAAAGAGAATATCGTATTCGCTTACGCTGGACACGAACACCTTTACTTTGAAGATATCCTTTCATCATTCTCAAACCAAAGATGGGATGGCTATTTAAAGCTTCCCTCACAAGATCATCCAGTTCATAATCTCCAATATTACTGAACATACCTAAGTAATAGTAACAATAGTTAATTAACCTTTTCTCAATTTAGCCATTTTTTCTTCATTCTTAATAGTATAGTGATTTCTGTCACATATTTTTGGAAATCCCTGATCAAGAAAAAGGCCATATATATTTGTAATATGAAGTGAAAATAATTATGCAATTAATCTAATCCTTCCCCAATCCCTACCTTAATCCTTACCTTAAACCTACAGTAACCATCACCTTGACACAACCCTTACCATAATCATAACCCTAACCTTTACCCTAATCCTATACATAACTATAACCCTTACCTAAATAGACAACCCAGGCTAAGTTGATATTAAGTCTGGGATAAGAAAGCTTAGTAAAGTTTTTATTGTGTATTTTACATGAATTTTTATACATTACTTTGAACTACCGAATACAAAAAGACTACACTCTATAAATTTCCTTTCGAACCTCCTTACTCCTACAAACTCGCTGTAAATTTGTTGTAACTTGTAAGTGCCCTCGTATTCTATAATGACTCCGATCCCCCAAAGTGATCAGGTATTCTATATCGTGCTGTTTAGAGAAATTTGGGGGGCCGGAGCAAGAATCAACTGGGGGCCCCTCTCCCATTTGGATTATTATCGCAGTTAATAATAGCAATCTATCTAAGAATCTACAGCTATTTAATAACATTTTATTACATCTTTAATTTATTTCTCCCTTCCTTGAGTCTGGGGCAAATTGCCCCCTTTGCCCCCGCCCCCCTGAACGGCCCTGATTCTATACTCTAGCCTTTGATCGTAAATAGCACGAGGTACCTGATACAGAGAGTCCAAAAAACGCCATTCTTCTCTCAATTGTCTGTTTACTGACCCCGATTGTTTTGCTGATTTCGGAAACCTTGAACCCCTTTTCAAGAAGAAACGATAATTGTTCTTCGTTTATATCGTACGAGGGTCGGCCACGACTTGCTCGAGAAACTTGTCTAGCAGCATTTTCTTCACTTCGGGTTTGGAGTTCTTGTCTGGATTGGTGTTCCATTTGTTCCATATTGAAAAGAATATTATATGCCTCTCCAGCGTTTGCACATATCGAATCATCAAGATTCATATTTACTAGTAACCGTTGTAAAAAATCAAGTTTCAGCATAAGTTTCAGATCAAGTAAAAGTAAAAAATCAAGTTTCAGCGTCTCGAGACTGTGAAAAACGGTCGATGGAATTTATCACATCAAAAATTGCCTGTAGCAAGTATTGTTTGTCTTCTTCCTCCATTTTGAAAATATAATGAATGAGCCCGCGAACAACAAAGACGTTGGATTGCGGTTGGGTATCAAAAGTTGGTGTTCAAAAAATAAGTTGTGTTTTCAGCATCAAAAGTTGGTCTTCAAAAAATAAGTTGTGTTTTCAACCGATAAACTGGTGATCTTCAAAAACAATGATGTTATTTTAATAAAATGAATATGATCCTCAAAATATGATATAGTGAAATGCAAAAGTTGATTTTTGGCGGACATGGGACACCATAGGAACCAATGTTTGAAGTCTGAAGTCTGAAGACTGAAGTCCCTACCTGGATTTCGTAATTTTCTGTTATCACTATGAACCGGTAAAGACTTAAATGGAAAAGACTTTATCTCAAACAAGACTAACAAAAGTTACATGATTGGGTGAATTTTCAAACCGATATTGTTGTAAAAATTGGAAATAACTAAGCAAGAAAACTTTGCCGGTGAATTTTCGCTGTAAGATGTAAGTTAAAACTACAATTGTCTTGAATACTTTTATGTATATTATTAAAAAGTAATAGCATGGTTTCTCGTGAAATTTGGATATAACATGCGCTCGTGAGTTTTTCAAAAACCTCAAATAGCACTCGCTCTTCGAGCCCGTGCTATATTGAGGTTTTGAAAAACTCACTCGTGCATGTTATATCCATATTGCACTCGAAACCATGCTATTACCTATACAAATAATCTCTGCCTGCACCTTCTGGAATGCTTTAAGATTAATAATTTTTCGAAGTATGAATATAACACCATATATTCTCTGAGAAATTTAATGTTGATTTTAAAGGACATTGGCAACCAAAATTTGTATTGCTTATATCTATTAGGTATACTTACGGAATACTTAATTTTATATTTTGGCCGGTTTGTCGCGTTTAGTTGTTGAGAAAATGTAACAAAAAGTGCAACAGTAGTCCGCCATTTCGAAAATAAACACTTATGCCACAGCATACATTATCTGACGTCATTAGATGGGTAAACACAATTTCACGACTATAAAACAATACCGAGTATTACCACGCGTAATGCACTTTGAGCCAAAACCAAGGGCAGAATCGTTTTACCAAGTATGTACCTTATTTGTAACACTATTTCTCCTAGGATATATCCTAATCCGTGTTAAATAAACGCGGAAATTCGAGTATAAACAAGGCAAACACCAATGCAATATTTTATGATCAATTACCTGTATTGTAAATTGAGCCATTCCTTGCTTTCCCAATCGCTCAATATGTTTTTATTTGATGGTGTAGAGTTCTCGCATAGACTTCTCGACCAGTACAGAACGCTCAAAACGACATATTTTTAGCTAACACGACATGCACGCAATATAATTCTCTCTTGTAGTTTTGGTGCTACCCATGTAATGACGTCACAAAATTCGTTGACCTTCGAAGGTCATTTTTTCCAAGATGGCGGCGACACACAAAGTTTGCATGCATTTTACACGTAGAGTAAAATGTTCGAGAAGTAAATGATAATATTTTCATAGTTAGGTTGTCAAGTAGGATTGAAATAGCCAATAAAAATTTTCGTTGCCATTGTCCTTTAAAAGTGCCGAAGTTCATAGTAAATTTAGTAAACAAGCCTGACTAGCCGCGCTTTGGTGTTTGTTGCATATTTCAAAGGTATATAATTTCACTTTCATTGATTTGTTTTCAATCTTAAACTTTTACATTCTGTCTTGAATATCGGTTTCTGTAGGAAAAATATGTTTATTAGCCTGGTAGTGCATAAAATATGAAATAATGCAAAATTGTAGTAACTAGTTTTCGAATAGGTCAATACTGTGGATAATAATTTGATGTTCTCTAAAACGTGTTTGATTGTTTAATGCAGCAACAAAATCTGTCGAAATGCAAGAATGCTGCTACGGCAAGAGGCCATGCAGTGGTGGGCCAATTGTCAGTGGTGTGGGACTTGAAGGGTCCGGTGGAGCAAATGGCCTATCAGTTTAATTTGCTACTTAAAATATGCCTCGTGGTCATTAATGTGTACATGTGTACACTGTAATTAATGAATTGATTTTGAAGTGGTATTTAACTATTATATAATTCCTTACAAATAAAACTACTGTAATTGCGAATTTTCCATATATTTTGCACATTCGCTGGTACTTGTTCTATTTTTGCTAAGTTACACATGTGTTAATTCCTCTTTTTATACTGAAAGAACTGTGTGGCATGAACAATTGCATGCGCTAATGGTTACTGATTATATCTCACTGTTCTGAAAATAATATATGTTCGACAAAGTATATATATGTTTACTAATTTATGTTTGTTATGATTACTTCCTATGATTACTTCCTATGATTATAATGTTCTTTTAAATAAATTGTTGTTTAACTGATTTAAGTACAACAGCAAGTGTTGCATAGAAGGTTTCTAAACTGTGCCATTATTTTGATGACCAATATTTTCATTCTTCGTTGCAAGAAATTCGTTGAGGCTTTGGTCACTGAGTGGTTGCCAAGCTAAGCAAGACGAACATCCATCATCATGCTCATCAGCTGCTGCCACGTGACCTGGGAGACCTTTTTTCATAACTTGCACCTCCATTTCATCCAAGAGTACAGCATTGGAAGTGAAGAAGAAGTTGATAACCCATGTTATCCAATTTCCGTGACAGATCTCTATCGCACAAAATTTTTCGGAATTAATGTCGAAGCCATCACTCTTTTGGAGAAGGAGACTTCTTGATTCCATTACGACTAAAAGTAACGCGACAACGTGAGATTTCCAATCATATCCGTAGCTGATTAACAGGAAGATCCCGATCAGGATCATTAAAACGGAGAGTACCGATATCAAGTTGGCACAAATTCTGAACGCTCGGCTTGCGTAAAGGTTTTGAGTAAATTTAATGTAGCTGCCATTGTGATAATTGGGACGACGGTAGATACAATACAAGAGTAGTACCAGAAGGTATCCTATAACGGACGTTATAGGAGTTGTGTGAGTAATAGAGTACTTAGTACACCTGTCACCTAATCCTAGCCCAAACTCTTACCTAAGGGTTCCTTACCTAATCCTAGCCCAAACCCTTGCCTCAACCTTAACTCTAATCCTAACCTTAAACCTATTTCTAACCTTAAACCAAGTTGTGCAACAATCGGCTGGGCCAACAATGTCGCAAGGTTTTGGATGAAAATTTTAAACTCAAGCCAACAGTATCCAATGTTATGTTATTCGTGTTCAAAGTGTTAGGCTGACATGTTGCAGCCAAGAATGTCGGATAATGTTATTGGACCAACATGTTGGCTTTCGTTTGAACAGGCGTTAACACTAATCCTACCCTAATGCGTTATCTAATCCTTGTTCTAAAAATCTAAAAGTAACAACAGCCCCTAAATCGTGACTGATATGGTACTTAGAACCTGCATAGAGTACCTGCCAAAAACAACATTTTAAATTTAGAGTTTAATTCGGTCAAGGAGTTGTGTATCTTCCATTCGCCAAAATTCCTGCTTCTATATAAGGCAATTGTCAGATCCAATGTACAGTATATTTTTTTTTCCGAGAAACTATTCATGAAGACCATGCATTGATTCCTGTGTAAGTGTAACATATTTTTTGAAATACTTTTTTGTTATTTAACAGACAAACTGGCGAAGTTATTAAATTTTAAATTGTAAACCAGATATAGGCTAGCATGAGTTAGGATCTATATTTGTGTGATTTCTACATTAGGGACGCAATATCGGTACCCTGCACGACGAAGAAAAAATTCGAAAGTTTTAAACTTGTCTGCAAATAGGGTCGCTCGGTTACGAAAATAATATTGAGGAATCTATCTGCAGAGGAATGGAAATATTGTCCATGCATGTAAACAGTTTGTCTCGGTCTCCCGACGCTACGGATTTGGCCTGCTGTTGTTAAAACCGTTAGCATTAAAGTTACAATATCTTATACCTAAGGACCTTAGTTAATAATATTATGAAATAATGGTGGACAATCGAGCAATACATAATTATTTGCCGAAGCCAAAATTTGACTGACTATTTGAATTTAAGGGCTGATTTGCTAGGATAAATAGTAGTAGGCCTACACAAAAATTGCAGTCATCAATCATTAACGGTACATACCAAACAACACGACGGTTATAAAAAATAGTATATTCCGGGGCTCAGGAACCTCTACGCCAATTCCCGATCCCGAGCAATCTTCATTGCATCTTTCATAAGGTACCTGGGGACCCGTAGCCAAATATCTTCTATAAGCTGACTGGGCACAATCTTCAATATCTTCGGCGGTGATCTTTTTCTCGTGCAAGCATTCTGTCACACCACTGTTTCGATAAGCATCAAATAAGGAAGAGCTGACAACTATACTTTCAATGGTGTTATAAATGGTATACCACAGAACCCATATGACTCGCATTTCCGTCACGAAAAAGTGGACGAATGCCAATTCTTGTCCAAAACTTTTACCCATAATACCTGAAAATATTCAGAAAGAATAAATCACACACAATTTTTTATCGTATATATCAAAACTGTAGTCGATCTTTATTTAATTTATTAACAAATATCAGATGACATTGTGCCGTTTTCTGTTGTAGCTATATGGTAAGAAATCATAATGGGGTATAAGAGCAAAAAAGTGGCCCAATGAACCGTCAAGATGAGTTAACCACATATTTTACTTTTTTAAGTTTTCCCAAATGCTTGGAAAATAATAAGTCCAAATTCTTATAAAATGACGCTTCAGGATCCTTGTTATTGGTTGGCTTAAGCCTGATGGTCTGAGGCCATGGTTACTAAGCCGTAAATAATAAAAACGACATAATTCTGAAGCTTTTAACTCTTTCTCGACAATCTGTTTCGTATTACATTTCGAATTCAATTTTTCTAATATAAATATCTCGGCGAGTATTTACCCCCCCCCCCTTTTAAATAAATGCCACCATTGAAATCCTCACAATATAACCTTTCGAACGGGGGGTCAAGTGCCGTCAAAACATTACACAAACCGAAACAATCATATATTATACTCACCGCTTCGCCAAACATTCAAAGGAGAAAATGAGAAAAAGTTGAATATATTCTAAACTTTGGTGTCATTTCCTGAAAGGATATGTGTAAAATACTCTTTGTATTCAAGCGCTTTCGTGTAGAAAGTTTCGTATGTATACGCCGACTAGAAATATTTATTTTGAATTTTTAAAGTATAGGATTTTACTAGCACGCGCATGTATTACGTAATACTTGGCCAATAAGGAGCTCCCTTTAGCCGGGATGACGTAAAACTCAAGCGTATGGGTGCACTTTGACCTGTAGAATCCATTTCTGGCATTTCCAGAGTCACGCGATCACTGAGCTATACTTAATATATCTGGAGATCGTGCTCCAATACCTCGTCAGTCAAAAATGTGTGGCCAAAAACATGGCGGATTTTGGCCAAATTTACGTCATTTTGACGTCACAATCGACCTAAATTTATGGTGAACACCACTGACCAAAAATACTAACGTGAAGAAAAAAGTTATTCACACCCCCTTTCAATTTGCTTAAAACAGAAGGAGTAAAATAGTAAATTCAAAATTTCGGTCGGAAATTTCTATATTGAAACGACAGATTTGCAACCATGCCAACTTTTTGTTCAATTCCTGGTTGCCAAAAATCTACTGAAAGAAAGGACCTGTCCTCACATGCGTATCAAGGCTCGCTCGTATAATCTCTTTTTTTGTAATAATTTAACGCATGCTGTATTTGCTGTATTGAATGCGTAAAATTGTGAAGTAATGAAATTTATTGGCAAGCAACATACAATACAATTTATGTTAGTGTACTACAGTGCAAAAGCAGAACAAAATATTGACAAGCTTGTGGAGCTGTTGTCGAGCAAGTAAGTAGTAATATAGAGGCCGTTCGACCCTTATTCTTGGGGCGGCGCGGGGCGGCGCGGGGCGGCGCGGGGCGGCGCGGGGCGGCGCGGGGCGGCGCGGGGCGGCGTGTGGCGGCGTGGGGCGGCGCATCATTATATATGCAGGTAATTACTATGCAAGGGGGCGGCGCATCATTATATATGCAGGTAATTACTTTGCATGGGGGCGGCGCGCATTATATATGCAGGTAATTAAGGGGGCCGCACAAGTGAGGGTGCGTAGTGACGTCACGCGGGCCTGTCCGGGCGAAATTGGACAAAATTTGCTGACTACGCATTTTTTAGCGTCCCTCCTCGTGTATGATACAATAGTTAGGGCTATATACAAGAGAATATGTTGTTGTCTGGAGTTTTATAAGTACAGCTCTAGCATTTTGCTGTTATTGTCAAGTGATTTCTTTAATTTAGCTCCTAGAGGAGTAAAGAAATCTGATACTATATGAAATAGCATTGGTGTTATATATCTAAAACTTATATATTCGGGGTATACAACTATATGTTTTGTTGTTAAGTAATATATAAACATTATCAAGCGTCAAAACGCTGAGAAATAGCATGCGGTAAAGAGTTATGTATCTACAATTAAGCTAATATTTAAATCCCGATCTGCCATATGAGGTCTATATACGAGAGAATATGTTGCTGTCAGAGTTATATAAACACATGGAAGTTAGAGGTCATGATATACAATTGTCAAGTGATTTCTATATTTTAGTGCTAGGTTTTTAAAGTACTAAAACTCGGATAAGATTAATATATTTAAGTTATATTAAAGCATACCGGTTGCTATGTGTTGTTAGGGTGAAACTAATTAGAGGATTAACTTTTATCAGAGATTTGTATTTTCTAATGTGGATAAATACGGATAGATTAGGATATTCATTGCGCGGGCGTCGCAGGTTATCCGTGCGGGTTGGAAACACAACAATAAGGAGGCTTATATTGGAAGAGAGAAAGCAGTTTAGACAGGACAGGAGGGCTTTATACCAGAAGTTTACACAAAAATTCAGTCTTAAAATACATTTATTTCTTGGAGACGTTTACAAAGTTAATGTGGTCTACTTCTTAGAGTATAATGTGTTTGATTGTATATAAACTACGCACAACAATTTAAATGTTTTTTGTAGTAAGAGTCTTTTGGCTTAATTGTTTATTCGCCATGGTTTCTATACTCCTGTAGCCCTACATCGACCCTACATCGACCCTACATCGACTCTACATCGACCCTACATTACACCCACATGTCGCCGGAAAAAAATCTTTATCTTCCTTATCCTTATCTTATAATCTTTATCTTATTATCCCTATCTTTATGAAAGACTATAGTCCTGACTATGAAAGACTATAGTCCTGACTATGAAAGACTACAGTCCTAACTATGAAAGACTATAGTCCTGACTATGAAAGACTATAGTCCTGACTATGAAAGACTATAGTCCTGACTATGAAAGACTATAGTCCTAACTATGAAAGACTATAGTCCTGACTATGAAAGACTATAGTCCTAACTATGAAAGACTATAGTCCTGACTATGAAATACGATAGTCCTAACTATGAAAGACTATAGTCCTAACTATGAAAGACTATAGCCCTTACTATGAAAGACTATAGTCCTAACTATGAAAGACTATAGTCCTAACTATGAAAGACTATAGACCTAACTATGAAAGACTATAGTCCTGACTATGAAAGACTATGGTCCTAACTATGAAAGACTATAGTCCTGACTATGAAAGACTAGAAGCTTCACAGAAGCTTCTGTTCATAGTTAGGACTATAGTCTTTCATAGTCAGGACTATAGTCTTTCATAGTTAGGACAATAGTCTTTCATAGTCAGGACTATAGTCTTTCATAGTTAGGTCTATAGTCTTTCATAGTTAGGAATATAGTCTTTCATAGTTAGGACTATAGTCTTTCATAGTTAGGACTATAGTCTTTCATAGTTAGGACTATAGTCTTTCATAGTAAGGGCTATAGTCTTTCATAGTTAGGACTATAGTCTTTCATAGTTAGGACTATAGTCTTTCATAGTTAGGACTATCGTCTTTCATAGTCAGGACTATAGTCTTTCATAGTTAGGACTATAGTCTTTCATAGTCAGGACTATAGTCTTTCATAGTAAGGACTATAGTCTTTCATAGTCAGGACTATAGTCTTTCATAGTCAGGACTATAGTCTTTCATAGTTAGGACTGTAGTCTTTCATAGTCAGGACTATAGTTTTTCATAGTCAGGACTATAGTCTTTCATAGTAAGGGCTATAGTCTTTCATAGTTAGGACTATAGTCTTTCATAGTTAGGACTATAGTCTTTCATAGTTAGGACTATAGTCTTTCATAGTTAGGACAATAGTCTTTCATAGTTAGGACTATAGTCTTTCATAGTCAGGACTATAGTCTTTCATAGTCAGGACTATAGTCTTTCATAGTCAGGACTATAGTCTTTCATAGTTAGGACTGTAGTCTTTCATAGTCAGGACTATAGTCTTTCATAGTCAGGACTATAGTCTTTCATAAAGATAGGGATAATAAGATAAAGATAAGAAGATAAGGATAAGGAAGATAAAGATTTTTTTCGGCGACATGTGGGTGTGATGTAGGGTCGATGTAGAGTCGATGTAGGGTCGATGTAGGGTCGGTGTAGGGCTACAGGAGTATAGAAACCATGGCGAATAAACAATTAAGCCAAAAGACTCTTACTACAAAAAACATTTAAATTGTTGTGCGTAATTTATATACAATCAAACACATTATACTCTAAGAAGTAGACCACATTAACTTTGTAAACGTCTCCAAGAAATAAATGTATTTTAAGACTGAATTTTTGTGTAAACTTCTGGTATAAAGCCCTCCTGTCCTGTCTAAACTGCTTTCTCTCTTCCAATATAAGCCTCCTTATTGTTGTGTTTCCAACCCGCACGGATAACCTGCGACGCCCGCGCAATGAATATCCTAATCTATCCGTATTTATCCACATTAGAAAATACAAATCTCCGATAAAAATTAATCCTTTAATTAGTTTCACCCTGACAACACATAGCAACCGGTGTGCTTTAATATAGCTTAAATTTATTAACCTTATCCGAGTTTTAGTACTTCAAAAACCTAGCACTAAAATATAGAAATCGCTTGACAATTATATATCATAACCTTTAACTTCCATGTGCACGTGTTTATATAACTCAAGATAGCAATAAATGAATTAAAAAAAAAAACAAAAAAAAACCCCTGAAATCTTATGCAAACTTTTGCCTACAAAGCCCGCTTTTCCGCCCGCGCAAACCACCCGCATGATTAGTGTACAAATATGTTGTACGTTAATATATGCATGCACTCAAGCGTCGCTAATGACTTAGGAATACATAACAACGCATATAACGACTACATGTTTTTATCGCAAAATATATTACAACTGTTCCAATTCTAACTTATATTCTTCATAACCTTACTTATGATCTGACTCGGTCATCTTAACAGTATATATGTATGTAGAAGATTTGCTAAACAACGTTGAACGGGATTAGCAACTGTTTAGTTTAAAATATGTCTAAAATATGTTTAAAATATGATTTTTGTGACGAATAGATTCCTTATTTGCCCTCGTTCGTTTTCGTTCATCATGAGGCAGTCATGCTGTCTTTGACTAGGATGACCAACTTGACAACCATTACAGGATTCCATACAAAGACTTTCAACTTTTGATTGCAAAGCGCTCCTGTCTTATCTAAATCGCTTTCTCTCTTCCGGCACGGATAACCCGCGACGCCCGCGCAATGAATATCCTAATTTACCCGTATTTATCCACACAGTAGAAAAATGCAAATCACTGATAAAAGTTAATCCTTTAATTAGTTTCACCCTAACAACACATAGCAACCGGTGTGCTTTAATATAACTTAAATTTATTAACCTTATCCGAGTTTTAGTACTTTAAAAACCTAGCACTAAAATATAGAAATCACTTGACAATTGTATATCATGACCTCTAACTTCCATGTGTTTATATAACTCTGACAGCAACATATTCTCTCGTATATAGACCTCATATGGCAGATCGGGATTTAAATATTAGCTTAATTGTAGATACATAACTCTTTACCGCATGCTACTTCTCAGCGTTTTGACGCTTGATAATATTTATATATTACTTAACAACAAAACATATAGTTGTATACCCCGAATATATAAGTTTTAGATATATAACACTAATGCTATTTCATATAGTATCAGATTTTTTTACTCCTCTAGGAGCTAAATTAAAGAAATCACTTGACAATAACAGCAAAATGCTAGAGCTGTACTTATAAAACTCCAGACAACAACATATTCTCTTGTATATAGCCCTAACTATTGTATCATACACGAGGAGGAACGCTAAAAAATGCGTAGTCAGCAAATTTTGTCCAATTTTGCCCGGACAGGCCCGCGTGACGTCACTACGCACCCTCACTTGTGCGGCCCCCTTAATTACCTGCATATATAATGCGCGCCGCCCCCTTGCATAGTAATTACCTGCATATATAATGATGCGCCGACCCCTTGCATAGTAATTACCTGCATATATAATGATGCGCCGCCCCACGCCGCCCCGCGCCGCCCCAAAAATAAGGGTCGAACGGCTTCTATATTACTACTCAAGTATTTATTTTCATGCAAGTTGATGGATGTGATGCAGTGATGAAATCCTATCGATATCCTAACAGATAATGCTATGTTAAAAAATTTCAAATGAGAATTTTAACAATGTGATAAAATACAAAGCCTTTCACTCATTGTATTGTCTTTATTGTAGATTCCCTGAATTGCACAGCATATGGGTGAAGAATATAAGCAAACTTATGCCAGTGAAGTTTGTTCCTATGAAAAATAGTCGTTTGTGTTCAAAGCATTTTAGTGCTGATATCTTTGAGGAGAATTACAGCCAGAGACCAGTGTTAAAGCCATATGCTGTCCAACAATCTTTAATGATTGCTTTGGTCAGCTTGGTTGTGATCTTTACAGTTTATTATCAGTACAATTAATGGTCATACTGTACATGAGGGGTAATTAACCCATTAAGCGCCAGTGCTCTCCCCTTGACGAGTAAAATTGTCTGGCGTTAGACAGAGTAAAATACTGAAATAGGGTGCTTCGCCACTCAATGGGTTAAATTTATTCCTTAATTTTTCTGCTAACAACTTTAAGTTATTTGTACACATTTTGGTCTGTTTAGCTAAGCCAAGATTGCTACATTTACTTTTATTTTGACTATTTGTTTTAGTGTACAAATTAGGCTAGCGTAATTACTGTAGGTGCTGACCATCAAGTAGGGATCGACATGCATAGAATTGGTTGAGCAGTTTATTTAATTAAATTGGTGTTGTATGTGTTTAAAAATAAAGAATAAATTTTGTTGTGATTTGAAATTGAATATATTATTTATTCTTATTATTACTAAATGTAATTATACAATTATCTTGGAAAATCTTTTTTGAATAAAATATTTTTTTTAATAATTCTTCACTGTCGTTCCAATTGAAGTGTTCCTCAAATATTGATTCAAAACATTACCTCAGGCTAACCAGTTCATTTGGTTAAGTTCGTCAAGATATTCATACACTTCCTAGTATAATTGTAAACTTCCTGTTAAATGGTTTGAATGCACCAATCACCTTTGTTGTTTGTGCAACTAACCAATCATAAATAGAAAGGAAGTGACCAGAAATGATTAAATACTTGGAACTGGCTCTTTCACAGGAAGTGTATGAATATCTGGAGGAACTTGATGAAACGAGATGCTTGTGTTATGTTACTCTGGGTGCCTATATCCACACCGGGCAGGCTTGAAAAATATGCCTGGCCACAGTGGGATTTGAACCTACGACTTTTGGAATACTAGCCCAAATGCCAATGCTCTGTCAACTGAGCTATGCGGTCAGGTTGGTTTGAATCCCAATGTGGCTTGGCATATTTTTCAAGCTTGCCCGGTGTGGATATGCACTCAGAGTAACATCACACAAGCATCATATTCACAAATATCATGGTTATTAGATTACACTGATATCGAAGGAACTATACTCAGTTCCGAAATATCGCATACTCGAACTGCCCCGACTGTATAGCTCAGTTGGCAGAGCATTGGGCCAGTATTCCAAAGGTTGTAGGTTCAAATCCCACTGTGGCCAGGCATATTTTTCAAGCCTGCCCAGTGTGGATATCCACTCATGAGTACGTAACATCACACAAGCATCTTATTCACCTGAGTACATGTATTACACCAACACAGCAAATATCTTGATGGAATGAATTGGTCAGCCCGAGGTAATGTATTGAATCAATATTTGAGGAACACTTAAAAATAAGGTATGAATCACATAAAATGCAGATATCAAAATCAAGCATTGTAACTCGAGCATAAAAATGTGCAAATATTATTTGTTTTAAAAGGCGATTGTTCCTTGAATGTTCAATGAAATAGTGCCATTGCCTTTTACAAGGAAGACCATTATAAAGAAATACACTTGACTTTCTTCATTGCCATCTGGTACTTAGTACAGATATCCCATATTTTCTTGATAAATTCATACCTGAAAGCGGAATACATACAGGTGTAAAAAACTTGAATGGTGATACAAGTGCTTTATATTCCAAAGAGTTGCTTTTCCCCACAATTTAATAATAGAATAAACTGGTATTAAAATCTCTAAAAAACCTTTGTCCGTCAGGGAAATTTACATTGGGAAATTTATAGCAGTACGGTTTTCAACAAGCTATATTTGCTTAATTTTACTTGCTGGGGATTGTTATAATACTCGTGTTTTAAAGAATAATCTTGATAGTCAGTTGCAACACAAATTCACAATACAAGAATTGATAAATCATTTCAATGACTTACATGCTTTGTTCTTGTGGCCGTCAAGCTCCATTCATGTCTTTTTTTATTAATGGCTTTTGGTCTTTATTGATTTATACGCGCAGTTAGAATAATACTGTATTTTCAAAAGGACGAAAATCAAAAATATACTCTCTGTCGATCAACTAATATAAACATACAAAATCACTGTAAAATCCAGGGGGGGTTGAACTTTGTCGCCCACAAACATTCGAGCCATGGATCAGTGGAAACTCCCATGAAAATAGGTCGATTGTGACGTCAAATCCGCCATGTTTTTGGCCACACACTTTCGTCGAGAGCACGATCTCCAGATATATAAGTATAGCTCAGTGCACGCGATGCAAGCGTAGCATTGTTTTGACGGTTTTTCGTCTTATTTCCGGTTGGGTTAACGCATATTCGGAGCAGAAATACAAAATTCGGCACTAAATGTCGAATTTTAAAGATAGAAGCTTGAAAATAACACTATACGTGTTATTTTTAACTTCTTAATCCACCAAGACGATCAGAATGAGCATACGTCTCAATGGAACGAAGTTATATTCGGCGAAAGGTATGTTTATGTTTATAATTTGTCAGTAATATTGCGTAATTTGACCATATACGAGCTCGTTTGACTTTCAAAGCTCATAAATCGCTATAATGGTGCCATTCACTAAATCTATCGATAGGAATGAGTAGCTATCGTTACACTGAATCGAATGGTGGTATTTTGGTCCACGTAGCATTTACCGAACTGAAGATATGAACCGCAAAAATGAGTAAATCATGAGTGATTTGTTTAATAGGGACCTGTCGGGAAAGAGGTTAATTAAAGTATATGAAATTCAAATGATTTTGATTGGACATTTTTACGTTAGATCCAGACCGGCAGGCCGTGCATGCAGAATGGAAATTAAAAAAGACAAAAAGATTTACAGACAAAGTTGCACCTGCAAGTTAAGTAATGCAAAAATGGAGGCTGAAGATAAAATTTGTATATGAGAAAACATTGAAATAACAGAGTCAGAGATAAACAATGCTGCCAACGGTGTTAAAATTCGACAAAAATAAAGCTTTGATAAGAAATTTGAGGAATGGCAACCATTTGCATTGCGTTGATTTTGCATGTTTTTGATCATTGTTTAAACCAATGGAGCACGCCAGAAATATTTGTGTAAATTTATACTAACCTTTTAATTACATGTATTAAATGTTTTCAATTTTCATCGGGCGCCATTTTGAATGTTGAAAGCGGTATATATTATTAGCTAATCGCAGGCGCAATAATTTATGTTCATCTTTGACATTAATTTATGTTACACGATGATACTCCGAAGGGCGACCGAAAAAGATCCGAAATTTAAAATAAGGCGGAGAAATAATAAAAACCTTATTTTAAATTTCGGATCTTTCTCGGTTGCCCTTCGGAGTATCATCGTGCAACATAAATTAATGTCAAAGATGAACATAAATTATTGCGCCTGCGATAAGCTAATAATATATACCGCTTTCAACATTCAAAATGGCGCCCGATGAAAATTGAAAACATTTACATGTAATTAAAATGTTAGTATAAATTTACACAAATATTTCTGGCGTGCTCCCTTGTTTAAACTGCTTCCATGCATCTTTCATATCGTCCCGGCACACGGTTGCATTTACTCTTGTTATAGTTATACAAAGGATAATTTTATTTATTACAATATAATGAAAAAGTTAAGCCTCCATTTGACAGATCTAAACTTTTTCAAATCTAAACAAATTGTATATCAAAATTAGTGCTCCTTGTTTACCCGATCTTTTTTAGATCAGCCAGTGCACGTGAAAACGCGGGGGAAATGTATATCAAGCAATACTGACCTCACCAAAAGAGCTCAAAAATGACGAGTGAATTCGAAGGATTTCTTCATAACAATCTTAGTTCAATAGTAAAGTTCTTAAGTATTTAATTTTCTTAATATTAAGGTAAACAGCGTTCAGCTTATTGTGGGAATGAAAACAAACACCCCAAAATGTTAGAAAATCACATCCTTTTTAGTCGCGAAGTCAAAGCTCGGAAAGTCAAAGCTAAAGTTTATGTAAATTAAGGCGAATTTTATTATTAAATATAAAACCTCTGTACGGCTGTAATTTGCTTTGTGTTTTTCTCATGAATTGTGAATGAGTTTGTTTTTCTTATTGAAAGGATTTCAAAAACCGATCCTTCGTCTTGGAGGACAAAATCGCGCCAAAGGCGTCAGAAATAACAAGCACGCTTAATAATTTGTCTAACTTTTCTGTCAACTTAAGGGTTTTCATAATACACCCTTTCGGAAAGTGTAAAGTCAGTAAACTCGTTTTAACAAAAATGTAAACAAAGACGGCAGAGAATGTCAAATTTATAAGGTACTGTGCCGTGGCTAACACAGGACGAAATCAGTAGCTATCATCATGGTTAAAGGGGGCGTAAAGCGAGGTTATTGGCGGCTTTAATCAGATTTAATCAGTTTGATTAAATTTAGTAAATGTACCTAAACTCTCCTTTCAGCATGCAAATTAAAGATTTTTCTGGAGGCTTTAAATTGCCAAATTATAGTATAATTATAGATGACTAAAGACGACCTATTAAAGAATGAGAAAAGTTTGTTTAAAGGGAATTAAAGGTTTCTAACTTGTCTTTAATATGCGCGAAGAGAAATGAGTTGTAAAAGTACCTTGAAGCTACATATATCAAGCTTTTCCGCTCTGGCATTTTTACATTTTTAATCACATTTAATGTTGTGGTGTTGAAATTGTAAAAAGGTCTTTACTCAACTTTAAGCAAGGGTGTTTTGAATCTTTATTTTACCTTTAATCACATTTAATGTGTGTTGAAATTGTGAAAAGGTACCTGCACATGCATGCCTTTACTCAACTTTAAGAAAAGGTGTTTTGTATCTTTATTTAACCTTTAATCACATTTAATGTGGTGTTGAAACTGTGAAAAGGTACATATGTGTCTTTACTCAACTTTAAGCAAAGTTGTTTGGTATCTTTATTTACCTTAAATCACATTTAATGTCGTACGAAAAGGACAGAAAAGAAACGTGTATTGTCTATTTGACGTTTCCATTTCCCATTTAAATATCTGTAGTATTGTTTAACCGTTAATGGTTAAACATTAATGGTTAAACAAACTATTCAAAATCGAAAACGCAAATGTAAAATAATAATAGTTACAGTTAAGCCATGTTTTAGATATTTTTGTTAATAGATTCATTTGTACGTGCAGGTAAGATGATCAATGAAATAAAAGTAATACCATTCATAAATCTCTCTGGCGTTTCCCAGATGTGGAGTTAAGGCAATTTTCCATTGCAGTCGAAGCGCCCGCGCGGGCGGAGCGGGCTTTGAAAATCTGCTCACGCGGGCATGACGGGCATAAAAAACAATGAACGCTTCGCCCGCGCGCGGGCAAAGCGAAAGTTAATGGAAAACGGCCTTTAATAGCAAACAAGCTGCTCCATACGCATATTTTTTTCTTCAAATTTATATTTACCATATCAATAACATAAAAATCAGCCGTGCAGAATAAAAGCATATCGTATAAACAGTGTAAGTTACGCAAACCCTTAAATTTGATTATCAAATTATGACGTGTAGAATGAAAACCCACGAATACAAAAATTTCAGTCTAACATTTCTATTTAGAATTTTGTATGAACCTCTTTGAAAGCCACGAAGGTTCACAATAAATATATAAAACACTCTTAATACATTAGAACTCATTAGAACATGGAAAACTTTAGGTGATATATCGTTGGTCTTTATTATACTGAAAAACTAAAACAATCAGAGTCATGATCATTTAAAATGTCATTAACAGAGTCATTCAGTGAAGAGCCACTAGGGTTAATGACTGGGCACTCTCATCAACAACATTATCATCCTCGTTCTTAGCTGCCTGCTCTGAGCAGTCTTTGGCTTAGGTCGAATGGAGGGCAGTCTATCCTCGCGAGAAACAATTCTGCGCCGTACCAGTTCTGACAAAGACAACGTGTGGAGCCTGTCTAACTTTTTCTTTGCCCTTCGTATAGAGATG